GGGAATGCTAATGCTCGTGCAGATGCAAGTGCCTCTGCTGTGGCTGCTGGTAAATAAATGCAACTAAGGATGTGATGACGGAGCATGCGAAGGAAGTCGAAAGTTTGAATGAAAATGAATAAAAATATTAAAAAACACAAATTTCTGTATTTTTTAATCCATTTGCATCCTAATAGGAGACAATGTGGAGGAGCATCCTCATATCATGATAGGTGAGATTTCTGAAGAAAGCAAGTGCCTCGCTACATCTGCATTTTGTAGAAAAAAATATTGCATTGGCTCAAATATGCATTTACGCAGTGTTGGGGTAACCTTGATTTCATTTGTTGTTTGCCTGCAATGCTAAGTAAAAAACAGTGTGACCAGATGATCACAAAAACCGAAGCAAAACTGGTTTTGAAAAAGGACTAGAAAAAATTATATCCTATGAAAAACGAACTTAAAAAGACGTCAGTATATTCATAGCATTTGCACTTATTCTTTAACTAGCCGTTACTCGCGTAGGGGTGCTAAAGCACCTGTTACAGACAACGCATCCAATTAAACTTTCATCGGTCAATTATCAAATTTTTATATCCAACTTTTTCACTTTTTTTCATTTCAACAATTTGTATTCCCTTTAAACGAAATTAACAAATTTTAGGCGCCAAAAACGTATAAAATATTATAGCCATATTAATTTATGCCTTATTCATGCAAAACGTGTTATGCGAGAGCTTAAACGCTTTGACTTAGTACGCAAACATACATACATACATACATACTGGTATAAGACCAATTGTAAAAGCAGTATTGCCTCGGTAAATACAACTGAGGTTCGAGAAAATACGCTACTTTGAAGCCGCAAAATATTCGATGAGTTTCAGTTCACCTTCTTTTTAACAGTAAAATCAGTTTTAAAATAAAATTAGCAACCGCTCTAGCCGGACAATTAAGGCTGGCACCAGGTTTCATCCTCCCTGGTCCGCGATGTATTCAAAATAGATAGGAACAATTTTTCCAAACCGCGGTAGCGCCTTGGCAAACTCCAAAAAAAAACAGTTGCTCATAAAAAATCTTTAGCCTTTTCGGAGACACCACAAAATTGTCCGCCCCTCAATTTGTGCGGCAATATCGAGGCGCATACCAAGAATTTCAAGAAAAGCTTAGCAAAGTGTACAGATTCAAAAGTTTTTGTAAATTTTTTGTTCCTCGTTTATATAATTAATTTTAAGCTAAAACCATCGGGGTACCTCTGTGGTCAATGTTTTTTTGTTAGCGTTCTATTCTCTTTTCTCATTTTTTTTTTTGAATCTCCTTGGATTTGTCGTCACAGAAATTTTACTTAATTAGCGTGAAATTATAGGTTTATGAATTATTTATTTGATACTTAGACAACGTAAACGCACAATCACATGGACACACACATTTGCAGCGATCACTCGAAATCAGATAGAAAAAGCCGATGAGATTAATTTTTGAAAGCAAACACGAAAACAAAGTTCTTAACGTCTACACACAAACATACATACATATGTATGTGCATTAGGGTGGTCCAAAAAAAGTAAAGTCGGAAATTTAATGCTCTCACCCCCTAGGATTGTTCTATACCGAAAAAAAATATATATAATAAATAATAGGGTATAAATTTTTTTTCGGTATAGAACAATCCTAGGGGGTGAGAGCATTAAATTTCCGATTTTACTTTTCTCCCATACATTTTTGGACCACCCTAATGTGCATACATACATACATACGGTGGCGTGCGTAATCTTCGGCCTTTTGTAAATGATTTAGCTACCTAGCCTGCTCTAAAGAAAAAAAACATAGTTTCGAATTTAGAATATTCTAAAAAACAACATTTTGAACTTTTTTTTACGTAATTACAATAACAGATAAACGTAAAAAAAAAATCAAAAATAATAAATTAATAACACCTTTCCTTTTAAACATTGGTAGCGTTCGATTCGAAGCGTTGATTAGCCTATAAATTCACGCTACCCTTAAAAAGGTAGTTGAACTATAACAAAAAAAGCGTTAAAATATTTAGGGTATTCACAAGATGTCGTAAGCGTCGTTATGTTCTAAAGTCGAAAAAGGGTAGGGTATAATAAGAGCTAATTATATATATATATTTTGTAGCAGTTTCAAACATATCTGGTGTAGTTACAAATCGCCTTAAAACATTTTAACCGTTATTTTACGTTGAAAACTTTTACGACGCTTAAGACGACCTGTGAATCCCCTAAATATTTTTTTCTTTCTTTCGATTCTACTGTACAGTTTTTAGTTGAATGTAAATAAATCATATAGGCGTTTCCAGCACAAAGTCTGCCGCAAAAAAAAACTACAAGTCGTATATCTAAGTTAATTATAGGCCGATTTGACTTATTTTTGTAATATATACCTACTGGTTATGTAAGCAGAAATATTTTTGCCAGGGTCGAGCTATTTTGAAAAATCGTATTTATGCTCTGATTTGTTTCATATGCATTTGGCATGTTTAGTTGAAACTTGATAAGACATAGATATGCAAAAATCGAGCCGCTGGTGGCGCTGATGTCAAAATAAAAAGTACGTACGGACATAAAATGCACGTTATCTTCCCGTTAAAAATTCTTTTAAGAACAATATTAACAAAACTTTGTCAATGGTAATTTTAGTAAAGTAACGTCATGTAAAGTCACGCCAGACACTTCAGCTGATTAAACAAAAAGCAGACAAGATTTTTACATTCAAAAACTTGGAGAGTCAACCTTAAAAATTTCCAATATAGTCTTGCCCAATTCGCAGAATTTTGCAATTTTCCAACCCAAATCAAAATCTACTACTGTTTTTGTAACGTCGCGCCAGCGCATATGTTTGCTAATATCTTCAAATTGCCACTGCCAACAGTTGTAATTTTTAGGGGCCATTTATTTAAATGCTATGCAAATCCAGAAAAACCTTTTTAAAATTTTGACTTTTTTAATTTTTTTTTTTTAACATCAAGTGTCACGTAACGCCAGATTGGAAATACCCATATTTAGATAAAAGTCCATTTATTTTTTGAAATCATATATCTAGTGTTGGGCATTTTCGGCGAAAATAGTAACAGGCGAACATTTCAGCGAATTTTAGTCCTCTATGAAAAGGCGTTGGGGTCTTTTTGTAGACATTTGATTTACCACTAATTTGTCCTTTGTTGTGTAGAATTGGCTTTATTCTCACTTTAGTGTCAAATTTTGCAACAAAGAAAATGTATGCTTAACTTTAGATATAGCTTTATTTTTAATCCCACCTTTAAAGATAAAGTGAACTTTAAAGTTAAAGGTTACTTCAGAAAGCGGCCCTTAAAGTGTGAGAAGCTGTTTCTTCGATTATCACCCTAAGAGCCGTTATCTCAAATAGCTCTTACAATTAATTTTCCCCTTAAACACACATTTTGTTCTCAAAAAATGTGCTTGAATGGCAGATAAATTGTAAAAGCTAGTTGAAATGTTTTCAAATGAAAATTAAAGCTAATAAATACCAAACACTTTAAAAAAAAAAAAAAAAATTAAAAAAAAAATATTAAAAATAAAACTTTTTATTTTATTTGCACATATGGACCTTAACCAGCATATTTGTCCTCAGTCAGCCTTTCTTGTTTCTCATCTGGAACGGAAACTGCAAGTTTATTTAACTAGAAAACAGCAAATTATTACTTCCTAAGCTGTGGTTAATCAAAAAAAAAAAATGTTTTTCCACTTTTTTTTTAGTTTCATAGATTTGCTGGTTAACAACCAACACTTCAGCTACCTGAGATTTTATTATTTTCCCCTTTCACCCCGTTTATGAATATATATTGTGGGGAATGGCTCGGTTATTCTAAATAAGTCTCAACCGATTTTTCGAATATCTTTAGGCGGTTTTTCTGAAATCTTGATCTTTCGTATACCGAGTAAACCGGATTTAACAATCGAATAAATGGGGGAAACAAGGGTAAAAAAAAGGTTATTTATACACCAAAATCCAAAAATTCGAAATATCCATTTTAGAGAAAATGGAACTACATAGAACATTTTTTATTAATTTTATATCTGAGTACTGGAAAATCTTGCACTGCAGAAAATTGGGCAGTAGGTAGAGGGATGCTAGATGAGCTGATGTAAGTGGGCTTTTAAAAAGGTGGTTAGTGTAGTCGGTGTATCTTATTGAAATTGGACTGAATAGTTTAACCTGCTGATATTATATCAGCAGTGGAATTCTGTAAAAATATTTACCAACCTTTAAAGATTAAGTGAGCTTTAAAGTGTTATAAAAAAAATTTAAATTAAGTAGTGTTGGGAAGTATCGGGTACTTTTTATGATCGAGTTCTTTGGTATAAGGTTAAGGATCGGGTATTTTTTAGAGTATTGAGCACTTTCCTTATCCATATAAGCATGTTGGTAACACTTCTATGCTTAGAATAGAAATCTGAGAAGCGGGCAGGATTTGATTCAAATTAATTTACCAATCCCAAATTACGTCAAATGAATGCCGGGCTGTAAATGTAAATAAAACTCAGTTCTTTTAAGTATCTATTTGACACCTAATACTGAGTACTTTGAATCGATCCTGAGTACATGTATCAAAGTAATGGTTGGAACAGAGTGTTTTTGAGTACTGAGTACTTTCGATTTCTTTTGCAAGTGCTGAGATCTTTGAAGTCGATACTTTCAATCCTTTTGAAAATCGAGTTAAGAGTAACAACAGGAAGGCAATTTTTTATTCGTTTTCCTTTCAGACATATCCCGTGTTTACTTAATATACACCACTTTACGTACAAATTTTGGATGTGTAATGAATTCACTTTTATTTTATTTATTTTTTTTTAATTTTCTCTCCTTTACTTTTTCGATTATCCATATCATTTACTTATCTACACAATATAAATTAATTTAATCCTAAGGCTGCGTTGTTTGCCAGTCAAATAAATGATGTGAGTGAGTATACGAATAAATTAGTTCGTATCGCGATGAGTTTCGATGAATTTCGCTTGCTATTAGAATTCACAAATCTATTTGCCAAAGCTATTGGCGCTAGCCTTAGCGTTTGCATTAGCTGCAGAAGAGCCACCACCAAATCCACTGGCGTTGGCATTTGCATTAGCGTTGGCTGAACTGGAACCACCACCAAATGCGGGGTTTCCACCGAAGCCGCCACCAAAACCGGGTTTTCCACCAAAGCCGCCACCAAATCCGGGGTTTCCACCGAAGCCGCCACCAAAACCGGGTTTTCCACCAAAGCCGCCACCAAATCCGGGGTTTCCACCGAAACCGCCACCGCCGCCGTGATTTCCGCCGGTGAATCCAGGATTTCTATTGAAACCGCCGCCGTGATTTCCACCAAATCCAGAGTTGCCACCGAAGCCAGGGTTACCACCGAAGCCAGGGTTACCACCAAATCCTCCACCTGCTGCGCCAGCATTAGCGTTGGCATTGGCGCCGGCTTGGGAGCCACCATATTGCTGTGGCCTAGCACAGCAAACGGCGAACAATGCGGAGAGTACTACGAACAGCTTCATTATAACGGTGAAGTTTCTAACGTATTTTGGGAAACTTCTAATACGAACCACTAAGCGTTGATAACAAAACTAGCAAATGTTTGGACCAAGTCGGCGTTTTTATAGCAAAAGTCAGCGAACTGCTACGAATTTTCGGTGATCTTAGACAGGTTATCTCGAGGGATAGTACCCAGTGTGTGTGTGTGCTTTTAGTGTGAGGTGTGTGTGTGTACATAAATGTGTATGTATGTATATGAATATTTGCCTGGATGATTACATTTGAAGCTCAGATCAATTCGCATGCGCGTGCGAAATCTAAATGAGAAGTATATTATGGAGGCAAATAAACCAGAAAATATAAAACCAGATACTTATGTATATTTTTTAAACCTATTTATGGAGATGATTATACTTGCAGAGTTGACCAAATAGAAATTTATTTTCTTAAGAGATCACGACAAAATAATAAGAGGAAAGGAATTAAACCAAAAACAATTCATTTCGTTATATATTTAGACTGTGTGGATGTATTTGTATGAATGGGAGCATCATCAACGGCAAACATAAATGGTTGTTTATCTAAATAAATAAAAAACATCCAACCAGAGACGTGCGCGCGGCGGGGATGTTTTGTGGGTTCGAATGATGAATATTTTTGAACCTGAAAGTTGAAATGCCAGGTTGACCGAGCTTTGCCCGGAGTGCAATTTGGTTTTCAAGATTTGGATAGCTTTAAACAAATATTTTGGAAATAAAAAAATTTAATTTCGATATCTATTAAGTAAATTTTTACTCCAAAAATGGTACATATCTTCAGCGTATATGTACTCTGTACAGACAAAAAAATGGTATATTTTGTATATAGGGAAAGCATTGTTTAAGAATCCTCTCTAGGTACCTATGAATAGTAATATTTTATCTCTTTTTCTTAACAAAAAAATAAAATAAATATGCGACTCAAAATAGTTGGCAGCCTTACTAAAAATATTTAAAATACCTTCCTTTTGATACCCATTTTATGATGTTTTAATAAATTTTTAACTAATTTCGAATAGGTGGCAACCTTATACGAGTCAAGATATTATCTGTGTACAAAATTTCATCAAATTTAGTGCTATTTCGCAAAGCAGAATTCTTTTCTTCCACTTTCTATTTTATAAAAGTAGGCAAATGGCAAATGAATTATTTTGGAAGTTTTTTTTTTTTACAAGAAGCTCAGTACTTTTGAAATAAGTATTTAATATATGTAACTTGTAAGAATGGATTTCATTTAAAAATATATTTGTCATAAAAAAATAAATAGTCCAGTACAGGTGTTAAGTTCTAGGAAAGCATTTATGTAGGTGTGTTAACTGGCATTGAGAAATCCCCGGTGGCAGTGAGTTTGTTTGAAAACAAAATAATTGTACTTGTAGTACTACACATGCGCTCTCATACATAGATATGTAAATTTGTTTTGCGTTTTAAATGCAAACAGTGAAATTCACTTCTAAATATGATGCACCTATGTAAGTATGACTAACAGATTTTATTTAACGTGTACGTAATTTGTTACTATTTTATAAATATTTTGCTTGTCAAATGTATTAAATATTTATATTTTCGGAGGAAAGTATTAGATAATCTAGATGTGCATATAGATTTTATACTATTTATGATTACATACTATAAATTGACGTCACAACATACAACAAATCTCTAAAGACAATTGGGGTATTCACAACGGTGTCGTAAGTGTCATATTGTTGATTGTTGTAAACTTTAAACGCTTTAAAAACATATTAAGGGGTTCGAAAAGTACCATCAAAGTTATATTATGAATTTTCGCAGTGTTAAAAAACAGTTGGTTGTGGTTTAAAGTTCAATAAACGTTTATTTGAGCTTTTAAAGTTTACGACATACAACAATACGACACTTACGACACCGTTGTGAATCCCTCAAATATTCCGAGATTAGTATCAATCGAGTACAAATGGGCATTAATTAGTCGCAACTAGTCTCATACTTGTATTATTGGAGAACCATATAACCGGCTCATCGATTATGGGTATAATTAGAGTGGAGCAGTTAGTCCCCAACTCATCTCTAACGGGTACAAGTAGCGATTCAATAAAATATACGCACTTAGTCAACGAAATTTCGTGCGCGCCGTTGGCATGTAGAGAGAGTATTCGAATCGCAGCTGAAGCAAGTTTTTATTTCTTAAATTCGACTAGTCACTTTTTATAGTTACTCGGGTATAAACGCGATCAATTAGTCTCTTCATAGGACATGCTCGAACAAAAGTGAGCAGTTCATTTCATATCGTCACCTGAGTGGAAGATCGACTTATCTCGGCAGACAGTTCGCAAACGCTCAATTTCAGAATTGTATTAAAAAAACACCCTATCTCAGAATTCGGTTCAAAAACGCTCCAACTCAGCACATTACCCAAAGTATTTTCATTTGGGATAGGGCGCTTACGAATCGAATTCTGAGATAGGACATTCTTCAACAAATTCTGAGATTAGGTTTTTTCAATAAAATTATAAAATAGGGAGTCTTCAATCAAATTATGAAGTAGGGCGTTCTTGAAAAGTTTTCTGAGATTGGGCATTTTCGAACTTCGGGCAATTTTACTCTCAGGTGACGATATAAAAAGATCAAAAATGGTATTACACTTAAGGAGTGAGATTCTCATAGAGACCATTTGTGATCAAATCAGTATGGCTATTGCACGAGCAAATCAATAGAATCAGCTTACATCGTTGAGCAGTCCTTCTCGCCCGCGGAATAAGTATGCGCTTACAATCTTGGGGAACATAATTATTGCGACAAATGGATTTTTTATCCCAATTTTTCAACCTCCATCCATTGGACGGATTTATTTGTTTACCCTCTAATAGGGTAAAGTATCCAAGCTTAATTCATAATAGCCAGTTTTATTGCAAGCCGAACTTCGGGAGAAGGTAAACAGGGCGTTGATTGCCTTGTATTGCTATAGAGAAGCCATTGATATCATTATCATATTCTGTTCTCGTGTGGTAAATTGCATTGGACAAGGCCGCCATTATTAAGACACTGGAGGGAATGCAAAGATCTGCCTAAATTCGAATCACTGAGATACTTCGGAGCAGGAAAAGCTGCGGCTACCAGCTCTGAATAGGGACAAGAATTTCAAATTCGCGCATACATACATAGCTGTGGTGAGTGCCGTTGCCCTTCCTTATAATTTACTGTTTTTGTTAGAGCATTTTCATCCTTATATTTGCCTAGGAAATTGTCTTTTTTCTGAATATGCTGTTCTCCATGTACATAGGCGGCACTGTTGATGGAGATCGCTGATTGTGCATTTTTACACAATTAGAAAAAAAAAATTTACCAAAAACCCGCAGCGTTTGGTTGAAAACATAGAAAAAAATGCAAAACTTTTAATTTTCACTTTTTATTTATTTTTTTACTTCAACATTTGTTTACCTTAAAATTTATACATAAATCACATTAGGTTAGATATTTGTGGGCAGTTCGACATGAGTGATGTGTGTTGCACTAAAATTTTAGCAAATTATTTTCTACCATAAGGTAATTGGCCGGCGCTAGCATTAGCACTGGAAGAGGCACTCGCATTGCCACCACCGGCTTTGGCATTCGCACTAGAACTAGCGTTTGCTGAAGCACCACCAACACCACCACCACCACCAGCACTCGCATTTGCATTGGCGACGGCATTAGAGCTAGCGCCACCACCATTGTAGCCATCTGGACCTGCAGGAATCCCTCCTCCGCCATTGTAGATACCTGGACCTGGAGGGAAGCCTCCGCCATTGTGGATACCGGCGCCCCCATTGCCACCTGGCCTGCCGGGGAAGCCCGAGCCGCCGTGACCGCCATGACCGCCGTGTCCGCCATGACCGCCACGTCCGCCATGACCTCCGTGTCCGCCATCTCCTCCGTATCCGCCTCCTATAAAGCCAGGTCCTCCGGGACCACGACCAGGTTGACCATATTGACCGCCTTCGGCATTGGCAGTAGCTCCAGCATTAGCATCGGCGGCACCGCCATATCCTTGTGGGCGAGCGTACGCTACTGCCACGATAGCAAAAAGTAAAACGAACAACTTCATTGAATTTCGATTTCGACTTGGATGCTGGTTGAAAAGATATATGTATGTAGATAGAACTAACTGCACCTGCACCACAAAACTAAGATCCCACCTGCGAGCGACAGTGATTTTATAGCAAACGAGCGGGATCAAAATCTGTTTGTTGGTTGTGAGAGAAACAGGGGGCAAGAGGCTGGCGCCAGCGAAATTGTTAGCTGCAAAATTAAAATTGGCTAAGAAGCTTGTTTTTTAGTGGGGCCAGCTGTCGGAGAGTGCGAAATGCACGGATGCTGTAAAGTGTGTAAGAGTGTGTGTGTGGAGAATTGAGAGAAAAAATGCAAGTCAAATGGGTGAGCTATTCTTAATTTCGCCAGAACGCCAAAGCCATTCGAGTAGAAGAAGAAATAATTCTCCAAATTAATTAGTAAAGCACTTAAACATGTGTATCCACATACATACGTACATACTTATATGTATGTATATGTGTGCATATGCTTGCACAAACATTAGAGCCGAACGAAAAAAGTTTGACCAAACAGTGTCCTATTTGAAAACTTGATTACGTTGATGGTATCTCGTGACAATACGAAACTTTTTATTCCGGACCAAACTAGAATGGCCAAACATTTTTCTTTGAATTTGTGAATAAGCGCTGCCGGTTTTGCCGAAAAATTTCGATTATTTTGAATATTTATCGCCGTATGTGAAGGTCAAGTTATACGAATCTGGATACTCAAAACTTTCGCTGTTGTTGTTGTAGCATCATACACACACCCCAACGACTTTTTGAGAAGTGATTGTGGAGTGACAGTCATTGGCTATATATACATCTGGGTCGTTCCGGATACGTAAATAGATCCGACTGTCGTGGGAACGCTTTTGGCGNGTGTATCCACATACATACGTACATACTTATATGTATGTATATGTGTGCATATGCTTGCCCAAACATTAGATCCGAACGAAAAAAGTTTCACCAAACAGTGTCCTATTTGAAAACTTATTTACGTTGATGGTGTCTCGTGACAATACGAAACTTTTTATTCTGGACCAAACTAGAATTCGGCAAACATTTTTCTTTGAACATTTCTGAATAAGCGCTGCCGGTTTTGCCGAAAAATTTCGATTATTTTGAATATTTATCGCTGTATGTGAAGGTCAAGTTATACGATTCTGGATACTCAAAACTTTTACTGTTGTTTTTGTAGCATCATACACATAACCCAACGACTTTTTGGGGAGTGATGCTGGAGTGACAAACCTTGGCTATATATACATCTGGGTCATTCCGGATACGTAGATCCGACTGTCGTGGGAACGCTTTTGGCGTTTTGCTTAGATTTTTCCCTCGCCTAATCTTTTAATGTTAAAGTAAGTAT